GTGTGTGTGTGTGTGTGTGTGTGTGTGTGTGTGTGTGTGTGTGTGTGTGTGTGTGTGTGTGTGTGTGTGTGTGTGTGTGTGTGTGTGTGTGTGTGTGTGTGTGTGTGTGTGTGTGTGTGTGTGTGTGTGTGTGTGTGTGTGTGTGTGTGTGTGTGTGTGTGTGTGTGTGTGTGTGTGTGTGTGTGTGTGTGTGTGTGTGTGTGTGTGTGTGTGTGTGTGTGTTTGTGTGCCCGTGATATCGTTTAATGAATCGTCATAATTCACACAGGTTCCGCGCACTGAACTCCGAAGCCGTGAGAAACCCCGAGAGTGGAAAGGGTCCACTACTACGTTCGAGTGGCCAGCGAGCTGTATTGAACGCATCTGTTTTCCCTCGCTGTGTAATGACACATTGCGGGCATTATAATATATATTCGCCGGACTTTATTGGAAACGAACGTGATCGAACCGAGGCGATTCCCGAATTCGACCCGAACTGCTCCCGTGCTGCATTTGATGCATATAACGTATCATCGTATATTTAAACGCCACCGCAAGCAAAGCTGCGGCACTGGGCCGTGCTGCCTTATATATGGCGCCTAAAATAGAGATCGATCGCTGTCGCGCATAGACCCCGTTCATGCGTACATAACGCTATCGATATAAGGTTCGAATGTGTATCTGAGGCATTAATTTAACACAGCATCGGATAGTGATTTAGTCGAAATTTGATACACAGGACGTAATACGGATCGCTGTTGCCGATGGTTGCAAAGGACGACTCGGTGAACTTCGTAATTGGAACGCACATGCGGCTACGCGCGTTTTCGACGGAAACGAGCTCGGAGACTTTCGTTTATTTTATTCGTAGCATTGTGTGGCGGTAGCGCGTTTCAATTATGATCATTACGGACTTTGGCTGCGACGATCCTTTTTTGCGCTCGCGCGTTTAAATTATAATTTAATGCTAATTAAATGCACATTTAATAGCTCGAACCAGTTTAGCCATCGCCGTATTGGATATAAAGTGGATGCGATACCCAATGGCCGTAAGAGACTTGAAAGAGGCGCGAGTATTATAGAGCCGCATGCTCAAACGCGCACATGGCAATACATTCGGAGTGAAAGTGTGTCGCCACGCGCACTACACCGCGTATGCATATATGTATACGTCAAATCAACCGATGTACGCACTCGAGGTATATTGAAATTCATTCGCGTATACGCTACTACATGGAAGTTTGACGTCCATCCCAGCTCCCAATTGGCCAATTTAAATTCCTCCAACGACGAACGAAGAATTTAGTTTTTCATTCGTTCCATTATTCTTCTTTTTTTCTCCCGTATGATTGTCACTTATACATATTTATACATTTATGCGCGCGGATGTGCACGCTCGGCGTTATATAGTTGGCGCGCACACGTGTTGGAGCACAGCTGTCAGATTCCTCGTTGCTACTCTAGTTATAATCTAACTGCGGGTTGTTGGTCAAAACGAAACATTTTGTCGCGCGCGCGCCACGCTATATACCAAAGCCGCACGAGAGTAGGTGCGAAGCGGACCATGAGCGCGAACAAACTACGTCTATTTACATCTCGTATACACGTTGTACGTATATTACGGGCAACTTTATGGGCTATATTGGCGCGACTATAATATGTAGGTACGACGCGAGCTGCACACGACCGCGCGGATGGCTTTTTATTATGCATGCGTAATTTACGCATATTATACACCATATACACAGACGCTCATCTCGAGCGAACGAGCTGCACAACTTCATCTCTCGTAGCGCTCGAAGTGTATCTGCAGTATGCATCTCATGCCATGGTAGCCCGGCCGTATTATAAATATACACGTGTAGTAGCAAGTAGCGAAGGCTAGCTTTGAGCCCCGATGTGTACCTGCGAGTATAAATTGCAACGTGGGAGTCGGTAACGAGTTTGCGATGCATATTAAAGTCGTTAAAAGCTTCTTCGAGGAACGACGTGCTCAAGGAGAGCATATAGCATCTCCTCCCGAGCTTTGCGTTGCAACCATGATTTCAATTACTTGACATTCGCGATATATCGACTTTATCGCGTTTATATATGTGCGTGGCCCGAGAAAGAGAATTCTTTAACCGAGCTTGGGCTTGTTTATTGTTCTTTCGGCGTAGCAACAGAGTGAAAAACAGAGAAAGAAAGAGGTGGAACGAGAGAGAGAGAGAGAGAGAAACGGTGAAAATTTACAACTTCGAGAGAATTGCAGTTGTGCAGGTGGTGGCGATATGTTGTGGTGCTCACCCCCGCGCACTTGTACAGACGGTGGGGCGCCGTCGAGTTGCGGCACCGAGACTCGAACCCGCGCATACTACTATACACATATACAATGGTACACTGCACACAAACGGATTGCATACGATGCACCTGTGGCCACTTTTTCTCTCTTTCTCTCTCTCTCTCTCATGTTTCGAGCGTTCTCGAGTTTAAATATACGCTCCTAGTTTCGAGCCGAGGCCCCCGATATTAGTAATTCGTTATACTCTCTTCTTTCCGAGCTACCACTACTTCACCCCGTATACGATATATATAAGTCATATATCGCGCGCAATCCTAATTCATTCCCTCTCGCTTATACCATGGGCATAACAACAAGTCGAATAAATCATCCGATTAAAAGCGCTGATTGCAATTATAACGCGTATTATGGCGGTTGGATCTGCGCATTTATATAGGCGCACTCACGTACGTATATATAGGCGCCGGCATACTATAGCGCGAGAATAAAAAGATTCACTGCACACGCACTGGGAATCGATGAGGAAAAGGCATAAATATCGAACAGAATAGAGCCGCGACGATAAAATTGTCTAATTTTTTTCCATTAGACTGTGCGCGAGAGAGAATTACGGGCTGTCGATACTAAAGGTCAAAGTCTCAGCTGATAATGAATTTATATATGACACATATAAAACGTCGAGACTAATGTGCTTCGATATATAATATGACGACGTAAAGTGTCTATATAAGCTTTGACGCGATATCAAACAAACAGCCATTCATGTGTACAGAAATGCTCTCACTCTTCGTAATATTAAAGTACACTGCCTGCATTGCGCGCGAGCAAAGACGATTAGCTCGTTTCGTTCGGCTCGTGTATACGGTTTTGAATCATATCGATTCATCGGAATTTCGTCTTTCGTTGAAATTGAACACTCTTTATAACTCTCGCATACTCTCGAGTCGACTTGCAACTGATTTCTTTCATTTGGAGGCTCAGCACTTATATTTCGCGTACGGAATGTTTGTTTATTATTAACCAACGTGCGATTCGAGGAAATTGAGGAATCATAAGCGAATTAGTAAGTTCCCGCCTCGGACACGAGCGTTATAGGCAATTAGCAAAAGTGCTGATTAACCAATTAAATCACATGCTTCTATAGGTTAACTAGCTTGTGATAAAAAATGTTTAGTTTTTTTAATTTGGTATCGACGCTTTCGATCCGCAGGCAGTAATGTAATTTTACGTTCTTATTGATTGATCAGACACGTTACGTCGACAGTCGAGTAGATAAATTTCGAGCGGCACCTGACTTTTTATTTTGATTTATTATTGATTAGACATCTAATCGATAAAATACAGAAATTCTAGAATCGACGAAAGTTGGGCTTTAGTGTCGCTATTGCGAAAGAGAGTAAAATTTGAATTCAGTAACGAATTTTCACTTTACAGGTCCAAACGACTTTGACTATGCGAGTTCAGGTTGGAGAGAAAAAAAATCACCCCGATACACGCCATGTTCACGCAGGCACATGCGTTTTGACAAAGCAAAATGTTGAAAAAAAAATGAAGAAATAAATAATAGCAGTCCATTCGAGGGTAAAATTGAATTGCTTATCGGCACGGGTAAACGAATCTCGACGCGTCGGCTTTTCCATAGTTTTCATTCTGGCAGCAGCAACAGCAGAGGCAACGGTAGTTGTAGTAGTAGCAGTAGTAGTAGTAGTAGCTGTAGCAGTAGTAGTAGTCGTTAAAGCGTTCGATCGAAACTGTCCCGCCTAAGTTAAATAACGCGTAAACTTCATTAATATCCTCCCTCGCGCGCACAGCGTGCAATATATAACGCGACACGGAGGCTAACTGCGCACGAATATAGTGCTTTTATCCTGCTAGCTTATATATTAAATTTCCCAAATTATGCACGAATTGACGAGCAGCTGCCGTGTCAGAGGCATTACAGATTGATAATAATCCGCGCGCGCGAGTGGGCTCGCGTGTCCGAAATTTTCACCGTCATAGGTAATAGCGTAAGGTCCGTCGTTTGACAGCGCCCTGAATTTTCTTTGGAATGTTTACTAATATAACATCATAACATAGGACGACATCATTTTCGTCTGCATATAGAAAACAAATGAAAAATACTCTGATGCGACGACGAGAGGATAGTAAATAAGGTACACACGCGCGTGCATTCGATTTTCGTATGTCATACAAAATGTATCTACCTATATGCGCATATATATATCGCCCGTACGTGGGTAACCTTTACCCACTTGCGCGACTCGCGACGCATACCAGATAATAGCCACCGTTGCTGCTGCTGCTGCTGCTACTGCGTCTGTGACGTATAATAATAAATACGCACAGTAGTAGAGTAGCGCATAATAGCATGTGTGCACTGCACACGTTACAAGTGTGCGCGGTTATGGTTTAAAAGTTGCTCGTGCACTTTGAAAAATGAACGCGCACATAAAATAACATTTCCTCTTTGTCGTCGTGCTTACTCTATAACGTTTTTTTTTCACTGCTGCTGTTGCTCTAGCGCGCGCGATTCGCGCGGCTCATTTATGAGCGAACGCACACCAGCTCCGGGGGACACATACACATACACACATACGTTTAGTACGTACACAAACGCACGACACACGCGATACTGTTGCTCGTCAAAGTGGTACGCGCGAACGCGCATATACGGCTCGTATGCTGCGCGTATTATATAGCAAAAATACATAAGTATGTGTGCGTTCGAAACTCTTACCTGCAGCCATGACGTTAGATGCTTGCAATTCGCAGTAGAAGTAGTAGAAGCGAAGGTCCTTGAAAGTAACGCGTCACAAGAGCGCGTACGTATGTATCTGTGTTGCAGCAGCAGCAGCGAGAAAGAGACTCTTTGCAATTCCTCGATATACTTATTATTCGCTGCAGAAGTAGACGAGCCGATGCAAAACGCGCGTTATTATGTATAATGCCTCGTTTTTTTTTCTCCAATTGGCAGCCAGTAATAAAAGACACACTGTATGTACTGCGATATTATGCGAAGCACGCACTCGTGATTATTACAAAATTTAATACTTTGTGTATCTCTTCTTCGTTATATTTATTATTTAGCACAAAATGTGACACACTGCATTAATGATACTTCACACCGAGAGAGCTGCAAAAGAACCGGCTCGACAGTTACACTCACTTTTTTGCACCGTATACACACTTGCTGGCGGAGTGCGCTGATACACTGGAAAAATTTGACAAAAAAAAAAAAGATATGAAAAAGATTGTTACGTGCTGCCGAAAACAAAGGAAATAGGAGTCGAGCAATGGGTCGTGCACACACTGTTACGAGCCACTGTACGATAGAGACAACTGTATATATAGGCTTTTCCCCGTCACAGAAGCAGCTGCACAGTAGCGGCACAAAGGCTCGGCACGGAGATGTGAAAAGCAGACTGTGCCGACGACGACGACGAGTTGAAATATAGCCGGCGGGAAGCAGCGGTGCCGATGTTGCGCGTCTGAGCTCGGCAAAAGTAGCGTCGTATATATCTACTAGTCGAGAGCGCACTGGAGACCGAGATTTTCACGCACAAGCACACGGTTTTCACGTACACGCGTTTGAGATACGCCGAAATCGGGGCACTGCACGCGCGCGCGTTACAACGATCCAAACGGTACAACAGACGGAACGTCTACTGACGATAGCGTCGCGCGCTTGGCAGCGGTTTTCTTCTTCTCTTCTCTCGCAGCATATAACAACCCCTCATCGATTCACGCGCTTATGAGCGGCGGCAGAGCGAGCGAGCGGTGGCGGCGGCCGAGCACCGTATAGGACTACTACTACTTATACCGCTATACACAACAGAGTGCGTGCGTGCCGTACGATCACTGCTTCGACTAGCCTGACTGTGCCTACTACTATGTGCCGGTCTTCCCCCTGCAGCTAGCTAGCAGCAGCACAACACGCGCCTAACGCTGCTGCCGCCACTGCTAAGCCAAACTCTCCCCACTTTTCTTCTTCTTTTTTGTTAACGCATGGAAGGCAGCGAACGACCCGAGCTTCTATTATATTTCTACGGACTACGACTTGTGTGTGTGTGTGTGTGTGTGTGCGTATTTCTATTGCTTATTCGTGTGTATGTGTGTACGCGGTGGCTCGTCGCCGTCGTCCTTTCGGAGACAGTGCAATAATTCGCGCGTACATACAGCAGAAGGTCAATATTGCAACTGTTTCTGCTCGTGCACAGTAGTGTCAGTTGTACGTTCGATTCGTCGCTTCTCTCTTCTCTTTCAAAATCTCGCGTACCTTATTTTCAGCAGTGTCACTTTGCGTTTTTCGCGCGCTAAAGCACACAACACCCTATGAAGTATAAGGTATGAGTTACTCCAGAACCAAGAGATTCTTTTTCAAAGTAAAAGAAAGAAGGAGAGGAAAATTTTTTTAGACATCGGATTCGCGACGAGCGAGTCTCGTACATTCACATATAGATATAAGGTATTATACACTTATACATATAAGCGTCACGACTGAGATCACGATCAGCACTGGCCTCGTTCTTTCTTTCTTTCTTTCTTTCGATATAATGTATTGGCCGCTTTGTATGTATGTATGCTACGAATGTATGTGTCTGTGTATATGTGTGTGTGCTGCAGCGCACAGCGAGAGAGTCGAGTAATATCTTATCTTCTCGAAGGGGCCCGAAATGGAAAGCTGCGGAAAGCAGCAGCAGCAGCAGATCTTGTACATATACTTTGTGCGCTGTAACTGTGTTGTGCATATATCTGTATAGTTTTCAAATTGGAGAACGTTTGCTGCTACGCTCGGCTCTCCGCTAAACGCGCGCGAGATCGTGCGCAGCTCTCCTCGGAAATTGGTAATTATATATGTATGCGGTATGTGTATATATTTTCGCGAAAAGTGAGCGGCACGGAAAAACTGAGAAACTTTAAGGCAACAACAGCAGCAACGATGTAGGCGGTAGGAACACGCAAGTAGCATGGGTCGCACGATGAACTTTTGGCGTTAATAAAAAAAGCAGCCGCTGCTTGGATTTAATGAAAAGTTTCTTCTCTCGCGAGTTGAAGTGTCTAGCGGCACGCGTGTGCACAACGCGTACGTATAATATAAATTCGTCTACCTCGTACACAGTCTTTATTCACGATCGCGTGCTTATGAATAGCGGCAGCTATATAGCACACGTAGGGTTTTACTACTGTATATATAGACGGCACGAACTCGCTATCATGTACACCTGTGCGCGCACACAGGCCGACTCCTCGCTTCTTCTTCTGCTGCTGCTCCTCTCTTTTTCTTATCAAAAGCGGCGACGCGACGCGTTATCGTATTTTGCGCACAGACAAACAGTTACGTACACACACATGTGTATGTGTGCTGCATGCAGAGCTCTCTCGTGCGCGTTCCACTTTTATTTATCTAAAAAAACAGCCTCTCGACGTATGTGTGCAAGTCAGAGACAGCAGCAGAAGGAACAGAGTCAGTCGGTTAGTCGAATATACGTATGGGAGCGCGTGCAACGAGAAAACGGTACGACTGCACTGCAAAACCTTTCTCTCTCACGGCTCGTTTGTAAGCGCCAGCAGCGGCAGCGGCAGCAGTGGCCCTTCTTATCTTCAAAGCGCGCGATTCCCACCGCTCCTCTCCTTTCTCTACTCCGTGTGCTCTATACCTCGAGCGCGCGCGCGCGCTTAAGAATTTACGGCTATCGCCGTTATATATATATAAGTATATTATAGCCCGTTTTCTCTCTCTTTCCGTATATTTGCGGTCAGCTCGTGAACGTGTCCCCGTCTCTGTGTGTGTGTTTATGTGCGCTCGTGTGAGTGGTGCACACATAGGGAAAGAGAGAGAAAATATCGTTCGGATGCGCGACAAATCTTTCTTCCTCTATATACCAGCGTGTAGCACGGGCACGACTTTTTACTTTATTTTTTATTTTGGTCTCGCACAGGTGTATTAAATCATCGAGAGAAATATATCACACACACACACACACACACACACACACACACACACATACGTACATGTATATGGACGATCGATCGTTATTTTCTTTGATTGATTCGATGTTTTCGTTCGGTCGGTCGCTGCGTACAAACGAACAAATATAGCGTCGCTACATGATGGTAAACACACCGTGAATCGTATACCGTCCAAACGGAAAAGAAGAAATAAAAAACAAAAAAAAAAACGAATAAAAAAATCGGCAACGACTGATCGCGAACCGGTCGTCGATCCGAAGCACCGCGCGACGATGCACCAAGATCCGCACAGTAGTTCTGTTGCAACACGATGACGATGACAATGTATTTATATATGGTATATAAAAGGAAGGTGCGAACGATGCGCGCGCTCCGACGTCTAGCGGTCGACTGAATTGCAGCGCGCAGCTGCACGCGCGCGTACGTATATAGCGGCTTTTCTCGCTGCTATAATATACTATATAGTCCGCCGCTGTAGGCATACACCGCACCGCCGTCTACGTGCATGTGCCAACTCGGTGTGCGTTACACACGTATATATGCCCGGCTTTGGCGCTCTCTCGCTCTTCTGTCTCTTGGCTGCACCTCCTTCATTATTACATGTATATGCAGGCTGCTGCCGCGTATTCGTATTGTGTATACAAACGAGGGTAAGGCACGCGACGACGACACCTGTGCGCCTCCGCCGCCGACACACGAGGGTCGCTTTTTACCTCGTACCACCCATTTCATTCGGTGCTCGCGGGGCTTTTTATTAGCTTTTTGTGCCGTTGTTATTGTTATTTTTTTCTCGTCGATACGCTCGTCTCTCGTTGCAGCACTAAAAGCAAATAGCCTATCGGCAGTTTTTCGAGCTCTATTTATGTATAAACAAAAATGCGCACGCGAAATATTATAGCCTCGTGGATCACACGAATTCGCTTCGTTCGGTAATCGCACGCGTTGCTGTCGATACGAGCTTTCGATAAGGTTTAGGTGCTATCGAGACGTTTCGCTGTTATTACTGCATGTGTATAACGACGATATACGTCGTCGTCGTCGTTGAGCGAGCATATCTGCCTACATCGTCGAAAACGAGACTACTCCCCCGATTATTACATATAGCGAGCCGTATAATGTGACGATCGCCTCGACGAAACAATGATGTGCGATTTCGACGTGTTGCGTCTGTGTATCGTTAAGTGGTATTTTGATGCTCACACCGACGCACACACTTATTGAGACGCTATCTCGGAGCTGTATATCAGCTCTATGCTGACTCGCGTTATAACGTACTTATACACATATTGTATAAATTCAAGTGCGAGTGCGAGTTACTCCAGAAGTGACGTTGAGTCTTATAATAACGCGCCTCTTATCGCTAGATAAATATTACGATCATTGAGAAAATCTATTGCCAAGCGCGATTTTTAACGCGTGCTCGAACCGGCGTTCTTTTGAATTCCTAATGACGAGAGAGCGACACGTAATTGCTCGCCGTGCGTTGCGCAATAATAATGGTGAACCGCAGACGTTTTATTATCCGATCGGGTCAATTTTATTTATACGCATTTATCGTAAGTCGTTAATTCCATTCGTCATCGATACTCTCTCTCTCTCTCTCTCTTCTTTTTTTCGATGATCCAGAATACCGAGAAGATCTTGTATAAATATTTCGAATCCAGATGCGATAAGGACGGACGATGACGAAAATGCAGCAGAGGAACTTTACCATTATTTTTGTAAGTACGGTTATCGCGCGGGCGGTAAAAACCTCATTGCTTATGGATGACTAAAACGATGATGCTTCGTTATGCCATATGCCGCACTGAAAGATATGACTCTTTCGTCTTTGTTTTGCGGTACAATACTTTGGCAGAATCATGGCCTATGACCATACCACCTTTTTCGTGACATTTCCTCTCGACACGTCCGTACAATAATATTTTACCCGATACGGCTCGTATTTTTTCTTTCCCATATACGAGATCGCTTCTTAATTTTTATCTAACGCGTGCTTTTTTCAAGATGGCAATAAAAAAATCTTTATCGGCTCTTCGTGTTGCAATGTAAATCACGTACCATAAAATAAATACGTTTCCGAGAAATCGTAATATTATTAGATGACTTCGTTTCATAATGAATAATCGTGTGGAAATTCGATGGAAATTTTCGTCAATCGATATGACTAGGTCGCTTCAGAAATGCGCTTCGAATTCAATCGGGAATCGCATCATGGGTTTTTTTATAGGAAAAACTCCGTTTGACGAGATTTACCGTGCAGTGTATTCGATTACTCAAGGGAAAGTACGCGGTCACAGGTGTGTACAGCACAATTATATCGCAGCGAGAGTAAAGAGTATTCAAGGATCGTCGCTCATTTTGTTTTATTTGCTTCTCTCAGCTTTCATGGAAAATAATTATCTTCTCGGTGGTCGAGCGATTTTCTGCTGCGATAATTTTTCAACGTTGCAAAAATAGTCCTGGAAAAAATGGAAAAAAAAATAAAATAAATTTGACGAATACTGCATGGAAGAGAAAAAATAATCCTCGTCGAAATTTCAGAGATCATACTCGAACGATATTAACACGGCATGTTTTCATGCACTTTATCTGTTTTTGAAGTTCGGTACACGAGGATTCATCACGATCAAGTTGAGCTGAATTGACTAATCCGAATGGTTAATTCCAACTAGCACCCCGCACGTGAGCTCGCAAATACTGACGATTTTTCAACAAATATTGAGCTCTCCCTGGAGGTCCAGTTCTAAATTAAACACTGGTCAGAGAAAAAAAAATGAACCAAACGTGTCTCTCGCGCGTGCGTGGGCTTAAAAAATGAAGGGCAGAAAAGAGAAAACAAAAAAACAGTCCCGCAGATCGTAAATACGCGTGGGGGGGGTGTATTGTACGCACAAATATACACGCGCGCGCATATCTTTTGTGTATATAATATATAAATATGGCGCAGAGCTGTTACTACGCACATAACGGAGGGGAAAATATGTTTTTTTGCGCATATAGGAACGTTTTGTTGTGACCGCCACCGAGTCGTCCTTTGGTCTAGGGAGTTTGCCCTTCGCGTAAGTATACAGACAGCAGAGAAATACTCCGATGCCTTTGGCCTTTTGCGTCACTCTATACATAGCAGCGACGGACAGGATTTTTTCTCTCTTTTTTATTTTTATTTTTTCTTTTCTCTCAGTTGTGCTTGACTTATGCAGTGTATATATACGTGTGTTTGTACCCTTTGTGGCATATCGTAGAGCAACTATTGAAAAAGTACTGCTATAGGCAAGAGAAGCCGCCTATTTGGAACTTTTACATCGCAATAACGGTGAATTTTTCATCCGATGTTGCAATGGCTTATGTGTGTGTGCTGCACTGAGCTTAGAGATCGGATCAGGTTAATTGCCGATCACTCGACGTTTGCAATATTGCACTGCAGAAAAGCGGTACCGTGAGATAATAATTACTCGAGTTTGCTTTGAAAAAAAAAATTATAACATTGACCTGATTTCACGGCGGCGCTCGCTGTATATAGCGCAAAATAGAAGAAAGAGAGAGAGAGAGAAACAATGCCAGTTTATCGGCTGGAACTTGAAATAATTTTCAATGGTATTACGTGTTTTTTTATATTTATATTTTTTTTGCTGCTGCTGCTGCTGCTGCTGCTGCCGGCTGTGTTACTCACAATGGAAATAACGTGTCCGGAATCCGGCGATTACGGGCAGTAAAAGAAAGAATTATTCAGAGAAGCGCCTATTACTACTAGTGTACTTATGTACCAGGCGCGCGGCACAAACGTTATGTTACGGAAATAATCTCTATTATAGCCGTGTAGCTTGTGTCATAAGTGCCCGGCTGTCTGACCAAAAAGAAAACACGTTTTTTTTTAAATACGAGCTCGTATTTTCGCACGAAGAGATGCGGCTGCGGCGGGCGTGATTATTCAAATGGATATTTGAATTGTCTCGGACATGTGTCTTTTCACGGCAATTCCTTGGATCGCTCAAGATGTATCAATAAAAGCTCGTTCGATGCGGTCGATATAATGAGGTCTAAATCGTAAATTCATTGACTCTGTTAGGGCGACATTTACGTATCAGCTTATTTTCGGCATTTTTTCGAACGCGAAGATATTTGTCGCTTATTAGATGATATTTGTGGCTTTACAGATATTTTCGGAATCTCGAGCTCTCCCCACTTGATTCTAGATTGAAATGACCGCTCAATCTAAGGGGGCTCCTCGAGTAAATCTAACGAATAATCGGATTGATGAACATAATAATATGCGCAGATAATGGAAAAATAATCTCTGTCCAGCGAAGGTCTGACTCGGAATGCAATTGTATTGGCAATCGAAGCGAAAGTGGGCGTGCTGCGCGCCTTTATTATTATGCACATGGATCCGCACGTGCACGTGTTATTAATCACATGCGACAGTGTCAGGCCTCTATATGTCTCGCTCTCTCTCTTTGAAAACAAGCGAGCAACGACACATAACGCGCTAATGCGCGTATGTCTATGTCGATGGAAAATCAGTCAATCATTGACTGCGTACGAGCATAGCGTGGAATCGGTGACGTAATAATTATAATGTATATGCGCGTATGATACGGCACGGGTTGTCGTATCTAGTGAAGATATCGTAGATACCGATCGCTGATGTGTGGGCAAATTCATATAATACGACACATTTATTGATATAGGAATATATTGCAAGTCCCAGTTGTTTAGAAAGATACATCAGTGCTTTTTTTATAATTTTTAAAGTCGTAACTTGTGAGAATTGAAAAAAAGTAATTGAATTAAAAGATAAATAATAACCGCATGAATACTCGCGTACAGACCAACTAGGTAAAACGTCGTCGGCTGCCTTTTTGGTTTCACAAAAATTAAAATAACTATTTCAAGCTTAGAAAATAAAACTTAAATCATTGGTAGACTATTAAACTGGTTTGAATATGAAAATCAATCAAAAACTATTCGCACCAGCTAAGCTATATGAATTTACTATTACATCAATAAATTTACAATTTATCATATTGTTTATTCCACGTCGAACGTGATATTATATAAAATGAAATTAAAACTAAGTAAACGTTAATTCTGCCTGGTGTAACAACAGAATTTCTTATGTTTATACACGTTCTTCTACTCAGAAAAAAGGAGAGAAAAAGATTTTCACAGTAAAAACAAAATTAATTGCCGTTTGAAAAATTTTATTATTCGCCAAGAAGTTAAAAAATGTTTATGTGAAAAATTGTCGATAATTTCATAGCATAATCGTGTGATTGTAGAAGTCTTCACTACGTACAAATATCTCCGGACAAATCTCACGTTTCTACGGTTTGCTACAATTATGTACTGCATTGATGTGCCTATTAAGGTTACTTTTTTGCCCAAATGATTTGTGACAAATATCACATTCAAATGGTTTGCTCCGACTATGTACTGAATTTATGTGAATTTTGAGGTTTCCCTTTAATCCAAATGATTTGTGACAAATATCACACTCAAAGGGTTTGCTTCGATTATGTACTCCATTTATGTGATATTCGAGGTGATGTTTGAGTCCAAATGATTTGTGACAAATCTCACATTCGAAAGGTTTGTTGCCATCATGTACTATATTCAAGTGAGTTTTGAGGGTATCTTTGCGACCAAATGATTTGTGACAAATCTCACATTCAAAAGGTTTGTCATGATTGTGTACTGCGTTCACATGAAGTGTGAGGCTTTGTCTTTGTCCAAATGATTTGTGACAAATGTCACATTCAAAAGGTTTGATACGATCATGTACTATCGTTGTATGTTTGTTGAGATCACCTTTGTATCCAAATGATTTGCGACAAATCTCACATTCAAAAGGTTTGTTGCGATCATGTACTATATTCAAGTGAGTTTTGAGGGTAACCTTGCGACCAAATAATTTGTGACAAATGTCACATTCAAAAGGTTTTTTACGATTATGTATTGCATTTATGTGACGTTGCAGGTTACTTTTTTGTCCAAATGATTTGTGGCAAATTTCACAGTCAAATGATCTAATGCCCTTATGCGTTGTACGTCTTTTTAGACTTGTTTTTTTCGTAAAAATTTTTCGATAAGTATTATCCTTGTGAGATAATTTACTCCAACTTCTTTGAACAAAATTTTCCACTTTTTTGTATTCACTACGATTCCATCGGAAATTGAGTGGAAATTGACAATTATTATAGTAATCGAATTCTTTTCTTATCAAAATTACTACGTTTTTTCCATGCAAGTCATTTGTCTGATTTTCGTCTTCTATTTTTACGTTCTGATATTCAGTTTTACAGATGGTTGTCGAAAAAGACTTTGCTTCGAGTTTAACATACTTATACTCCAAATCTATAAGTATTTTTTCATCCAATTTTTCCTGTGACGCCATAACCTCATTTATGTAATTTGCCTAAAATTAAAATTGTGTTCTAGTTTTTGATAGCGGAAAAATAGAAGATAATTTAAATTATTAAACTTACTGATGATTCAGAAAATGAGAATCTTTCAACGTTTTTTGCTTTATAAGAGTCCCTCGAATCTAAAATATAATCGACGCATGCGTTTGACCAGGTGACGTTCGGCTCTTCCTTCACCCTGAAGAATAGTTAAGTTTGATATTGATCAAGTTTGAATAAATATAATGGCATGCGGGTTAAAGAGGTTTTACCTAACTGTGTCCTGTTTGCTTTCCATACTCGCTTGATCGCTTGATTATATGTAATAACTGTAATTTTTCACGATAATATACACCACGAAAATATTCGAGGTTATATACGTCGAGCAGCCAACACTGTACTCCAATTCCACCAATTTGCAAACTCTTGAGTTCGTTAGCTCCTATAGTCAGCGAATGAACGCACAACTTGTATATTTAGCGATCAGGTAACTCCGCAAATGTAACAGCTCCTTCGCGATACTTTCCTCCTCTACCATCGATTGGCCTTACGTTGTAAAATGCTGCGATACATAGAAATGCACATTACTACACCGCAATTATTGCAATGAAAATTTAACCCCTCCAGGCACTCAATTAACTTGCACATATCTACGTGTATAATAGTCGATAAAGAAACACTTACATACAAGAAAATTACATCTTTATTCACCCATACCAGTACAATGCATTATTAATACTTACGTGACATTATAATGAGTATGTGTTCTCACTTTATTCGATGGACTTTAAGCCACCGATGCAACCTCAAGATTCTCTTCTCTATTAAAAAAGTGATGGTCTGATTGCGTCATCAAAATAAAATTTTTGCAATAAGTCATTGGAATTTTTTTTATAGTCCTATATTTTTATACATTGAGTGCGAGTTTATAAATTTTTGATATTATATAGAGAGATATACTTATTTATAGGGTAAAAACGCCTATTACCGGGCCCAAGACATAACCTTCAATGACCCTATTACTGTTCATAAAGGGTCAAAGTTTGGAAATAATTCTTGCATCATGGTCAGTGGCGAATTATGGAGCACCCCAATCACGCCATGACGTGTCACGTGGGGCTAACAAGTTTTGGAATGAATATTAAATTTTTTTATAAAATTACTCCATGTCATCAATACAAAAAAAGTATTACTTGATGCCGCAGAGCGATTTTTTAATTCATTAGTTTTAGAAGGCCGAAAAAACCATCGCTCAGTTTAAATTTTTCACCTATTTAAATATGTAAAGAAAATAAATAAATAAATCAGTAATTTAATTGTAAACAATACGTTCATAAACGATTTTGACATCAACTTTCGAGTACTGATCATGTTTATAGTAAGATAAAATTAGTTTGAAAACCAAGTCATAATACCAAAAGATAAATTTCATTCAATCAATTACTGTGGTATTAAATAGAAGGATCCAACGTTTATCTTAGACACCAGAATGGATAAAAGTGAGAAGAAATCAGAAGAATTTGTCTCAAAAGATAATTTAAGAAAATATGACATTGTTGTTTCAGACGACAAGAAATACGTATGTGACATTTGCCACGAGGCATTTACACTAGAATCAAGTATGATAACACACCGAGACACAATTCATAATGATCAGAAAAATTACTCATGCGACAGGTGCGAGAAAAAATTCGAGTTCCGAAGTCATTTAAGTAGACACCAAATATTGGTGCACAAAAGCCGCAATGATTTTTCATGCGACAGGTGCGAGAAGAAATTTGTGAAACAATCGAGTTTGTTTGCGCATCAAAAATTGGCCCACAAAGATCGCGAAAATTTCACGTGCGACAAATGCCAGAGAAAATTTGAAAATAAATCAACTTTACTTAAGCACAAAAAAATATTTCACGAAGTATTCAAGAATTATTTATGTGAAATATGCGCGAAGAGATTTGATAATAAAAAGAATTTGCTCTTGCACATAAAAACAGTACACGAGGGTTGCAAAGATTACGCTTGCGACAAGTGTGGCGAAATATTTGGACAAAAATCACATTTGCTCTGCCATAACAAAATAGCACATGGAGATCACAATTATTTTGCACGCGAAAAATGTGAAAAGAAATTTGGAGTTCAAAGCAGTTTGATCGAAAACCAAAAAAAAGTCCATGAAATTCACAAAGAGTTCGCATGTGACAAGTGCGGGGAAAAATTTAGAAAAAAATCGCAATTGTTGTTTCACTTAAAAATTGTACACGAGGTCTTCAAAGATTACTTTTGTGACAATTGTGGGAAGAAATATGGACGAAAACCAGATTTGCTCTATCATCAAAGAACAGTACACCAAGGTCGTAAAGATTTCGCCTGTGACACATGCGAGAAGAAATTTGGACAAAAAAAGCATTTGCTCAAACACCAGAAAATAGTTCATGAAGGTCGCAAAGATTTTGCATGCGACAAGTGCGAGAAGAAATTTGGACAAAAAGCGCATTTGCTTAAACACCAGAAAATAGTTCATGAAGGTCGCAAAGATTTCGCATGCGACAAGTGCGAGAAGAAATTTGGACAAAAAACGCATTTGCTCAAACACCAGAAAGTAGTTCATGAAGGTCGCAAAGATTTTGCATGCGACAAGTGCGAGAAGAAATTTGGACAAAAATCGAATCTGCTTGTTCACCAAAGGACAGTCCACGAAGGTAGTAAAAATTACACATGTGGTAGTTGCGAGAAGAAATTCGGACACAAATCGCATTTTCTCGTCCATCAAAAAATAGTCCACGAAGGACGGAAAAATTTCGCATGTGACAAATGCGAGAAAAAATTCACACGAAAATCGAGTTTGCTTTCACACCAAAAAACAGTTCATGAAGGTCGCAAAGACTACGCATGTGACAAGTGTGAGAAGAAATTTGGAGAAAAATCAACTTTGCTCGTACACCAAAAGACGATACACAAAGGTTGCAAAGACTATGCATGCAACAATTGCGAGCGGAAATTTGGAGTAAAATCGCGATTGAACAAACACCAAAAAACTGTCCATGAAGGTCGCAAAGATTATATGCATAACACGATCGCGAAAAGAAATGATGATTGAAAATTGTAAATATGCACTCATGCGTAAGTTTTTATTAATTTCAATAAAAATTGTGCTGAAATAATTGTGCGTTACCTGCACTTCGGGCGTTCAAGTATCATTACACTTTTTTACACTGACTTTTTGAAATTTCGCGTAAGTACTACTAATTACTACTCTCTATTTTATTTATCGGCTTCTTTGTTCCTGTAGAGCTCTTAATGATACGCGATCCTGAATTGATCGAACACGCACTAGTGAAACATTTTGATAGACTATTCTGATGGACTGATTATTACTGCTTAGAGAGACTTGATCGGTAATAGCAATATGTTCTATCTGAAAAAACCAACGGGGAAACCATTTCATAATTTAATTTAAACCAAAACATGTTTTCTGAATTTCTGTAAAATTAGTAAAAGATCGAAAAAAATTGTTTTCGAAGTGTGTGAGTGGCAAATGAAAGTTTGCGTGGGGGGAAGCACTTTTTCTAATCCGCCATTTATCATAGCAAGGAGTTTCTACTAGCATAACTATAGGGAGTAAATACACTGGGAAAAGTTTAACTGATAATTAGAATCTTGAATGATAGCTTCAACAGCAATACATAAAAGTAAAAATTGAAGATGTAACCGCGTGTTAATACTTTAGCTCAGGGGAGAACTCAATTTCGTGATGCAATTCTTAAGGTCCCTGCAAAATTTCAGGCCCTGTTACCATGCTAATTTTCGAGAATAAAGTCATCGAAAATTGACTTTTTACACGGCCTGTATGGGCGCACATCTACTTTTGGACGCTTCTTATTGAATAACTCTCGAAATGTATCATACAGCTCTTCAAAAAACTGATAATATAAAGTTGAAAGTTGAAGCTTTCGATTGGTATATTAAAAAGTACATGTTTTCATGCTAATTATTGTAATATTTGCCCGAGAAAGTGAATTTTTATGGTCCAATTGAGGTTTTGTCGTCTGCTGAATATAAGGCCCTCGGGCACCACAAGAGTAAAAAAAAACTAACTACACTCGTATTGACAAGCCGAGTCAGTAAAGAGTCACCTTAATATAGTGTACCTTCTTTTAACGATAATAGAGATTTTTTAATCAACAAATTTTTATGCAGTAATAATCAACTTGTTTCCAATACTTATTCGTCTAAAAAATGTCATAAAAAGTACTTTGATCGAAAAATTGGCAAACGATCGGAAATTACTTTAGTGGTCCTCAAAAAGCTTTCCTCCTCTACATGATATAATGGCAGTCAAAACAAAATGAACAACATTAAAAAAATTGTATATTTCTTCAAAATTATTATTTATAATTATGAATATACATTTAAAAGATTTTTCAAAATTATAAAGCGTACTTATGTGAACGTAGTTTTAGATGTATTTTCATAGGCTTCAAATGTTTTTAAAAAAATCTCACATTCCTCTTCGTATCCAAATTATTTGTGAAAAATTTTCAAAAGGTTTGCTCCACTTTATGTACTGTATGCATATGAGCTTCAAGGTTTTCCTTGCGACCACAATACTTGTGAAAAATGTCACACTTGAAAGATTTGCTGCTGTACTCCATAATGTGACTTTTGAGGCTATTCTGGTATCCAAATGATTTATGATAGATCTCACATTCATAGGGTACACAACAAAAATATGTACTGCATTTATGTGATGTAAGAGAGGATCTTTGACGTTGTATGGATTGTGAAAAATATCACATTAGAAATTTTCTACCAGTAAGTACTGTATCTATGTGTCTTTTGAGTTTATTATAGTGTCCAAATTATTTGCGTCAAATCTCACATTCGAACAGGTTGCTACTATTATGAATTGCACTGATATGAGATTTGAGGTGAACTTTTTGTCAAAATGATCTGTGGCAAATGTCACACTCAAAGGGTTTGCTCTGATTAAGTATTACATTCATGTGAGATTCGAGGTAATCCTTGCAACCAGTTTTGTGACAAATCTCATATTCAAAAGGTTTGTTTTGATTACGTACGGTATTTATGTGATTATTGAGCTTACTTTTGCATTTAAATGCCAGTGACAGATCTCACTTTCAAAAGGTTTGCTTCAATTATGCACTGTGTTTGCGTGTCTTTCAAGGGTATCCTTGCGACCAAATGATTTGTGACAAATCTCACACTCAAAGGGTTTGCTCTGATTATGTACTGCATTTATGTGCAAATTGAAGTGGAATTTTTCTCCAAATGATTTGTGGCAAATATGACATTCAAAGGGTTTACTACGATAATGTACATTTGTTGTATGTTTCTTGAGATCACCCTTGTATCCAAATGATTTGTGACAAATTTCACATTCGAAGAGTTTGATCCGGTTATGTACTGCTTTTATGTGAGAATTGAGGTTACTTTTTCGACCAAATGATTTATGGCAAATGTCACATTCGAAAGGTTTTTTGCGACTATGTACTGCACTTATGTGAACTTTAAGATGACTTGTTAGTCCAAATGATTTGTGGCAAATATGACATTCAAAGGGTTTGATACGATCATGAACTGTATTTATATGTTGAGTGAGCTTATTCTTGTATCCAAATGATTTGTGACAAATTTCACATGCGAAGGGTTTACTCCGAATATGTACTGCATTCATGTGAGATTTGAGGTTACATTTTAATCCAAATGATTTGTGACAAATGTCACACTCAAAGGGTTTGATACGATCATGAACTGTATTTATATGTTGAGTGAGCTTATCCTTGTATCCAAATGATTTGTGACAAAG